TCTCTCTCTCTCTCTCTCTCTCTCTCTCTCTCTCTCTCTCTCTCTCTGTGTGTGTGTGTGTGTCTGTGCGTGTGTCTCGTTCAAATGTGTTATGCAAATGTGGTGAATATGACATTATTGGAGTAATGTAAGAGAGTGAGAAGAAAATAGCGCGTGGCATCACCGATGCGAACATTTCACACACACTAAATAGTACGCAAGGCGCGCGCATGGCGGTGAGATGATGCGGTGACAGATTTTGAGATTTTCGAAATTTCCATGTGGATTCTATTCGAGAGCATATTTCACATTTATGCCAAACATAAAATAACTTTATATTTTATCACCTAATTAACATGTTTATAGTAGTTGAATTCTTGAATTCTTTTTTCGCTCCCTTCGCTGAATTTTGTGCGCTGATTCATACATACGTATGGTTTTAAGCACTACATGAAATTTAGAGCCACTAATCTGCTTTTTTCTTTCTTAATACTTTTTGAGTGATGAAACAAATTATGGTGAATTTGAATTTTATGCTCATATTATTATTTAATTAATTTAAACCAAAGGCAGTTTATTTCAAAAAAGAATTAAAACCAAGGTCTTGTAATTCATTTTTGAAATAACTGAGATTTTTTTTCTATACTTTGTTACAAAAAAATATATTACTTCAAAATTATTTTGATGAAATAGATTTCATTTAGTGCGCCAAAATATAGTTTGTTGTGAAATAACAAAATAGAATAAGTAACTAAAAACTCAAGAACGCAGAACGGAGCGAAGCGACGTTCTGCGGTCTTGTTGCTTCTCCTCTTCTCGGGGCGTTTCGTTTTTTCTTCTTCTTCTTTCGTTTGGATATTTTCCATAAGCTGAGATGTTATAAAATCTCCTGATTTGCGTTGCTTTTGCTCTCGGTTATTGCTTTGACTTAGACCGACGTGATCAAATGTTCGGACCAATTTACTAACGAGAGTACGACGCATAAGTGTTGACTCACATTTTTGACAACCTCTCTCGGGTATTTGTGTTGTTTTCGCGGCGCTTACACAATTCGGTTGTCCTTTCTCTTACATTTCGTTCGGTTTTTTTTCTTTTTTTTCCGTTTTCTCTTGGCAGCCAGTCGACAATTATTTTACTGGCTTGATATGCACCATGTGCAAAATCAATGGAAAAATGGCGCAAAGTCGAATAAAGACGCAAAATGAGCATATAATAGCATTAG